GAGAGAGCGAGAGCGAGAGAAAGGGAGAGGGGGCGAGAGAAAGAGCGTGAAGGAGAGAATCGAAACAATTTCTTACATCACGCTTTTTGTTGCTATTAATTAAAATTCAACACGTACCCAACGTTACACGTTAGATACTTGGGCATGATAATGATCTTGCACACGTGCGTGACACGGATTCAACGACGAATATATGCGGAGTACTAGAAGTTGATCCTATTCTCTAGTAAGAAACGTTTTAAACGCATTAACAGTTTTATTGATGGAGTTATATTATCAAATGCCTATTCAATTTAGTCCCAATTCGTCCTTTCCACTTTGAATACATTTACTATTGACACACCCACGCACACAACGTATCGATATTTTTATGTTGGCTGGATATAGTAACGTAATTATTCGTAACAGTTTATCTAATCAAATCCAATGACTGCACACGAGAATTTTTTAATTACTTTAATCGACCGACACGTCATATCCGCTTCCGGTGGGATACACGACAGAGAGCTCGGCCTTGATAGCATTCTTGAAGAGTTACTCCTTACAGAAATCACATTTCATATAGCAATGTCCGTGTGTCAAATTACACAGATGTATCAATCTATTACATGTTTACTGTATATGTAAAACTCGTTTAACGGAGAGAGGCGAGACGTCGCGAGAGCAAAGACGTGGAAGGTGCAGTTTTCAAAGTGTAGATTTTATGTATACATAGGTATGTATAGACGCCGTTTAAATTAATCCGTTTCGCTGAAGAATAGATGTTTTTTTTTACCCGACCTGGTTGTTGAAAGTCGTAGACAGCTCCGTTATATCCGGTTAGTCGGGCTACAGAAAACAGAACTGTCTCCGATGTACATCTCGCTTAAGCAGATATAATCAATGATTCAAGGAAAAACCCGAAGCACGTGTATCCGTGAGATAAGCGAAAAGGAATCTCGTCTACGTGAGTTTACGTTTTTTTAACATTAACGAAACATACTTGGTTCGTTATTTTTTCATCAAGTGTCATTAATTTTTCATCAATTAGTCATTACGCTCACGGTGCTGAGCATATATGTCGCAACAATGTTTGGCTAAATTAAATGAAATGTCTTCTCGCGCATTATTTTTCAACAGCTGATTCTTTGCTAATCAATTGTCCTTTAGCGAAAATGATCATTTATCAAAGTTTTTCAATTTGTATTAGCATTGTACTATCTTCGTAAATGACGACAAGTCTAAAATTAAGATTCTATTAAGGTAAACTACGCTTGATATAAATGAACTGAAAAAGGTCAAATTTTTGTCGTTTAACCGACCAAAGTTTTAGCTTGCGAAAAAGCAAACACAATATCCCTTATAATTTTTAAAATTGCTTGCATTTTTACGGTCTGCAGGATATCCTGTATTCGCATATTTTGTTAAAATATGGAAATCGGAAACTGTCCTGTTCATACATTTGCATAATAGCAGTTCGTTATCGCGATGAGATTTCGTCGCGTGGAGTAGCAAAGAGAATCAGACGCGAAGGGAGTATCCACGTCCTTTCGATGGATAAAGAGAAACGTCAAAGCTTGCGCATACGCAATGCGAATACCCGTGTAACCTTCAATGGACTGCCTACCCATTCGCATCCGCTCGTAGGGATTGAGCTGTTCCATTGAGCAGCAACTTGGCTGCTTCCGCTTTCCGTTCATGCGTCTGTCTCCTCTTCTTTTTTCCCCCCCCTTTTCCCTCTTCCACCCCATGTTTTTTTCCTTTTCCCCTCTTACTGTTGAATACGAGTCGGTGCAGGCTCCGACGAGCCGATTCTCTCTCTCTCGACGAACGATTATTACACAAAGGGTCTAGAATTCGGTATTCATCCATGTCGCAAATTGCTATTAATGTGCTTATCGGGGGGAGATATTGATCGAGTCCCGGTTTTTCAATGAACTGTACTGCCGTTGCTGGTGGCAGTACAAGGGACAAGGCGATACGCGACCCAGAGCCGTCGACGGCGACCTACTTTGAGGCTGTGACGTTGAACGGTCCATTCACCTTGCAGCTCGTTCAGAAATCAAAGCACGTGCCGTCATTGGCTACTTATGAATACGCGGCGGGACAATTTCTGCAAAAAAAAAAACCATCTCGAATGTGTATGCACCGTGAGACATTCAACGTTTAACGTGTCTCTGCTCTGTTATTTTCTCGTTCGGCATTCGAAGTAAAGAAAGATAAAAATAAGACACAAATGTTTACGAGTACTTGGCGTTTATTAAATTATTCTGCTCGTACTGCTTTGTGTAAATGTCAATCTGTGGGTTGCTAAAGCTTTGATCCTTTCTCTTATATCGTTAGGAAAAGGCGACGGAGTGGTGAATTAGATTTTTGCCTCTTGAATAACTTTTTTCTAAAAAATACACTTAAAAAGTGAAATTTCTTTAACGCGCTGATGGACATTGATGTTATACATTATCTTGATTTAACCAAAGATTCCGAAGCAACCTTATTTTAAGGCTGATGACGTTGATCAAGTTATAGGTTTATTCCGATCCTAAAGTGGATTATCGAGATCTTTATAATTAGTCTTCTTGTTATAATTAGTATCTTGTACAAAGAAGCGCGAATGTATTACGTAATTTAAAGCGTATTTTTTAGAGCGAAGACTCTCTTTTCGTGAAAAGATTAGCATAGGGGATGAGGGAGCGAGGGGAGGGGTAGCCTGTCCCAGTAACCTAGTTTATCCCCGGGGGTTGAATAAACGGAGTTGAAGCTAGATGACGTCATTCTCGACCCCATTTCCGGTTTCCCGGTGCAACCAGTTATCCAGCTCTGTGTCCCGTTGACCCGAAATTTCTCATGAATTGAAGGACATTCGTTCACAACAAGTCGATCTGCCGTGCATGAATGAATTTTCCGCTTCAGCATCATCGTTACCTCGACACGAGAAAAAGAGGTCCCGTTTAAAATAGCGATTAACTGAATTACATATATCTCGTACGTAAAGCGGTGTCTTTTACAACAAACATTTATACAATTGTCTTCGTTAGGTGTTTTCGTTGTAACGCATCTAAAAGAGTTTGAACTGACTAGAGATAACGTACATGCTCGTAAATGAATAAGCTGTATTTAGCTTGCTGAAATATTTGCATCTTCTTCAGACATTTCTCAATCCAGCGAGATTGAAATTTAAATCTTTTAATCATGCCCGATATATGTATAGAAGAGAAAGTATTATGGCACACCCTATTTTTTTGTTTTTATTACTCTACAGTCTACATGATATTATTGCAATCTTGTTTCTATTTCCATAATAACGCTTCCATAACATCTTTGCAACGTTGCTGTAAGATTTTACAAATAACTGTATTTTACGGTTCAACAATTTTGTTTTCGTTCTAATCAACTTATAATTGCCCTGACCTTTGGATGTCAAGTCGACAATCGCTATGTCTTCACCACCATGCTTCAGTTTTACGTAATCGCTCGAGATTTGATAAGACATCAGTGTTAAAGGTGTAGGTTTACTTAATGTCGTCAACTTATAAATATCGGATGATGACGGCTGAGTTTCTCAGTGTTCTCGAATAAGACGACTCAAGCGGATACAAATCGTGTACGATGGAATATTTAAGTTTTAATTTGTCGAACAAGTCGCTTACTTTAAAGAAACGAGATGCTCTTCCTAAACCAGCGGCAAACGAGGTTCGAATTAAAGTCGCGTATTCCGGAATCTGTGGGACGGATCTCCATATTTTGGAAGTATGTTGCCATTGTAAAAATATATAATTTTTATTATCGTAATTGTAGAATGCAAAAAATTACACAGTTGAAAAATTTGTGTTTTTAACAGATATCACACGTTCCAAACGGTCGACACAAAGTTTTCTGTTAATTTAACATAATATAGATATGTTAAATGATCACACTAATACTCTGTTAATATTTTAACACAAAATAAATTCGAATCTTAAAATAATTTTAAATAAATTTTCTGTAAAATTAACTAATATTTTTAATGACAAAATAAATTTAGAAAAATGTAATTGTTACATTTTACAGATGTAAGTTTTAACAGATAAATCTTGTTACCAATAATATAGAACATGTGTATTGTGTAAGATTAACAAATTTCTTTTTAGTTATTTTAATAATTTTACAATTGAGGTCAAGCAACACAAGAGCAATATGTTAAATAAACACATGAATGTGTTAAACATTTAACACGAGAAATTTAACCGGCATTTTTTTTAACAAGAAAACACAAATTTTCCGACCGTGCGTAATAATTCTAAACAGTCACAGCGACATTTTACAAATGTGCATACTTAGTATATAATTTTTTTTCGATTAAATGTGAGCATCGCTTATTCGTATAAGATATGATTACTCGCGCGAGACATAAAAATATTTTAACACCATAAGGTACTAGAGTTACGGACAAAAATTATATAGAATCAAAGATTTTATTATTTAAATTACTCGAAAATTATTTGGAAATATTTAAAATTAATAGAGGAAACGTACACACGTTTCGAGTCGCAATCAGTAGCCGTTCGTTTCACTGGAGTCTGATAATCAGACTTTTATTTGAACTAACGTGATCCATGATAAAAGTTAAAACTTTGTTGATTGTTGATATCTAACACGCGAGTATACGTGTATACTCGCCGATATACGTATAGACTTTTCGATCTTAAAATAACATGTCTTATAGGGATCCTTTCCATGTAAAGAGGACGGACCTTTGACTCTTGGACACGAGTTTGTAGGTACTATCGATGAACTCGGATCAGAAGTGACTATTTTTAAAATCGGTCAACGTGTCGCTGTCGATCCCAACAGTGGATGCAACAAATGCGATCACTGTCACAATGCGAATTATCATTTTTGTAATCACGGTGGTATAAATAACACTATCGGAATTTTTAGAGATGGTGGATGGGCTACTCACGCAGTTGTCCCAGAAACACAGGTACTAAATACTCGACGATTCTAACGACGGATTCTTCGACCAATTTAGTTGTTTTTAGCTAAAATATTTAAGCACTAATAATTTCCATGGTATAAGAAATAACGAAGGAAATATTCGCCGATTAAATTTCAGAGAGTCGAGCCAATAGTAAAACTATTAATTAATTTCAAATAAAGTACATTTGATAAAATTTTTAATTTAAGAGCATAAAAACATGCGGTCAAGATTGAAATGTGACGTGAGTAATGATCTGGCTAGACATTTTTATTGAGAAAAAGTCAATGCTAGATTTTTTAACTCGAGGGGGAAACCGCTGACCAAAATGTTGTACACCAATGCCCACTAATGCCTAGTGGCATTACTTTATCTTATTTTATCTTTATAATGCCGCAAATCTGTACACCACAATGCCCCCTCGTTTTAATTATTCTCGCGTTGCGAGTACGTATCGTTCGCATGATATTATCGGTATTTACGATAGGTATACTTAATCCCGGATGAAATTGAAATGCACCAAGCAGTGCTGAGTGAACCGTTGTCGTGCATGGCTCACGGCTGGGACAAGATCAATCCTGTAAATATAGGAAGCAAGATTCTCGTGATGGGCGCTGGAATCATAGGTTTATTGTGGGCCTGCCTATTTCATCTGCACGGTTTCAGAAAAACTGTCACTATCAGTGAACCGCAACAAAAGCGTCAAAATCTTGCCTCCAATCTTGGTAATCTAAATAATATTGAAAAATCTGAGACAATCCCCCCTCCCCCTCTTTCTCTCTCTAATGGCGATGTATTTATATGTAAATAGGTCTCGATTATAAAGTTAAAAGTCCGACAGAATTGAAAGAGGAATTTGATTTAGCTGTGGATTGCAGCGGCAATGCTCCAGCCATGGAATTGGCCATGTCTTTGCTAGGTCACGGTGGTCGTTTATGCGTATTCGGTGTTGCTAATCCGAAAGCAAAACTATCGATTGAACCATTTCAGGTACGTGTCCCACCTACAGGCGAAAGTTATTAAGTTGCGATATTCTCTTACTAAAAATTGTCATTATGCAGATCTACAAAAAGGAGTTGAGCATTATAGGCGTGATTATAAATCCCTACTGTTTTCCTAAAGGGTTAGCTTTGGTGCAATCACTGTCTGAAAAGTATCTTGATTACAGTAAACTAGGAATCAAGATATTTTCTCTGTCTCAATATAAAGAAGCTCTCGATGCATTGAAGAAGGGAGACATAAGTAAGGCGGTTTTCAAGTTATAAAACAAAGATTCCG